GCTATTGCAACAAATAATTCAGTATTAACCACAAATTAACAGTTGTTGCAAGTTCGTACTATCGCTGGTCTGTAAGCCTTTGAAGACTACCACATAAGTCTATGAAGATGCAAAAAGCAAAGTGATAAACCGGCATTTTTCGGATGAAGCAGAAAGCTAGGAAACGGATGGTGTCAATAATAACAACTCGAAGTTCGCAAAGTCCAAAACGATCTCTAAGGTTGTCTTGACTGCTCCTGCATCACGAGCTGCAAGTAGATGCCCTGTGATGCAACCAAAATCCATAACAACTCGCTGAAAAGTACGTTGTAACGATAGGGACTGCGGGGAAATCAAAAATTTCCGACCCGCTAGGAAAAAAAACAGTCGCTGAGCACTGGGATTGGACCTTACTAATAAAACAGCAAAATACAGATCAAAGAATGGTCATGCGTTTAACTTTTAAAGAGCGACCGCTCGAGGTCGAAGAATCCTACGGGTCAATTGATTCGCATTAGGTTTCCAGATTCGGTGAGGTTTTTGGAGTTTTGGGTAATAAAGGGGTACGTTAATCTCCCAGACGTTAGGATGGCTGTGGTGCGGTAAACGGTATAGATCATGAGGCCGACCATTGCCGACTTGACGATCACCGCGAACTGGGATACCCATCTCACGGATTTCATTATTCTGCATTGGAATGATGACAGATCACGTTGAAAATCCAATCTCATAAATACTGTCAAGGCCCAACTTAACTGCGTGCGTACACAGCCTTGACGAGTCGCTCCCACGCCAAACAACAGATCCGCCCACACGCAATGCACGTGACGCCGAGCAGCTGCGGCCAAGCTGAGGACTCTAACACCCCAGCTGGATGAGTCAGAAAGCCAATGCAGTTGCTCCTTACTTGAAACTACAAGATGATTGGTCCAACCCTGTATGCTCTTCTTTTCACAAGCACGCTCTACTAGGCATGCTAAATGACTTCTAATTCTGCGCTTTTCTTGTTGTCTTCTTCCTTGGGGTCTCACACAAGGCGTAATCAGACAGTGATATCTCGGCTTCGGCAACATTTACAACAAATTGCACAAAATAAAAGCTCGGTTATCAATTGAGATGGCTATGAGAAGAAAATAGTTCAGGCGTAAGACCTATACGTCAGAATCATTTACAGTTCTATCCTTGGGTAGTTACGGCCTAATAGTGGGTAGCATATACCCAAACCATTAGGCCTGTATATGTTTGTTCTTCTCTTAAACAGTCTGTATGATTTATGATTTCTCACTCCTCGCCCACAGGAAATTATCAATTCGCAGGTTATTTTTACTGCATTGTAATTGTTTAATCACCAGCCTACTGCAATTCACTGAAGCCCTCACAAATAAAGACCAAAATGGCTGAGATGCCCGCGCGAATACATGGTCAGGGGGTGAGCGCTGCTTTTTTAAAGCCGAGTGACACGATTTACAAATGTTGTTGACCAAAATGCAGACAAGGCCGGATACACGTTCACCTTCGGTCAGGCGGACACGGTTTGTGTAACCGCATGTGCATCCGTGAGCGCACATGACGTCGTTTCAAAAACACCTCATGTTGTCCGTTTCTATGCGGTCAGAACGTGCTAGGCAGCGCTACAGCGTACGTGAGTTCTGAACAAGTAAGCGCAGCACACAGGCCTACTTACTGCAAGGAAGCAGCCAGCCAGCCAACAAACGAACAAACGTCAAGTAAAGTCCTGATTTTAAGCCGAAAATCAATCCTTCGAAAAAAGTTCGTGGCAACGAAATAAAAGGGGAATTGGCGGTTGGATTTGCTTTAGGAATTATTTGCGACGGCATTGGTGAATAAAAGGAAAAGTCCCTCCCTGTAATTAATATGAACAACATAGGGAAAAAACCCCATCCACCTCCCTGAATGGAGAAAGAGGCCAGTTAAGGCTATTTTGGTCAAGCCGCATGCGTTGGTCGCCTACTAATAGGCGAGGAGAGGATTATGCTTTAGCGACAGAACTGGAGTGGGTTTGGAAGAAAACCATCAGAATAGTAAAGGATTAAGTAGTCACAGTAGCACGCCTATCACGACTGCCAAATACGTAAGCTAAAAGCACAATGAGGCACATGTGAGCGGCCCTCAGTAGTTCTACTCCGTTCTAAAATGATATTTGACGTTAGCCGGCAGGTCTCATGGGAAAAATCAAACCAATGATTGGGGAGGAGAGTCGAAAAATGTAAAGGAGTTGGAAAAGAGGGTTGGGTGGGAAAACGAGTCTTGACTGTATTGTCCGACAAAGACATGCATGTGGGCCTTTCAAATTGAGCCGCCTTTTTCCCTCCCTCAAATCGCATGGAAACTTTATATATTTATATATACGTCGGTCGGCCTACCTCGCCCAGTGTAAACCGATTTTGAGTCCTCTGCACGATCCTAGCGTCGTATTGAAGGCAGTCCAATTTGGCACATATTTGACGAATTTTCAAAGGACATTTATCCACGATGTCGACAATTGCAGTCATTGACGATTATGGATTGGTTTTAATAGCTCAGTGTTGTGAATTTGTGCGCCAAATTTATTCCTTGTGACGGCAGACCTTTTTTCCTGAAAATTTTGGAATAATATGTTCAAAATAAAGCGTATCTCTCTCTCCCTCTCTGTCTCTGTCTCTGTAACATCTGCGCTATGAACTCGCATTCCTGTTTGTAAACGTGGACTGCGGTCAGGGCTATGCCTGGCTTAATGAAGGTATAATAAGTCCAAAGTGAGGCTTTATCAATGCACCTGCATTCAGTCAGTATCCACTCGCAACCACGTACTGACCAAATTAGGGCTGGAAGGCACTGGACTGCCTGTAACCTATATCACCCATTCGGATATCGATCTCTTTGGGGATGCTAATGGATCAGT